GCTGGTCCTGCAGTAGATCTATATAAACGATTGGCGTATATCCCTTGTAAGGCAATCCTGGCCTGTGTATGTAGATAACTGAGTAATGACTGTAAGCGGTGAGTTTCATATAAGCGAGGGGATCCCTAGTTCTGACACTACTATACTACGTCTGGGCAAAATAAGGTTAGAACGGGTCGATCCCGGTGGCTCTTGAGCGTAAGTACGAGCCTTATTGCACGGAGCAACTTGGAGCACCCCGAACTATCAAAGTTTTGGGGAAGATGCGAAGCCGATGTTTGTGGTGATACTACGCGACTCATGGATTGAAATGCGCAAATGATCACGTTGTTTACGCCCTGAGCTTGTTTCGACAAGGTCAGCTTAGTCTAGCTATCCTTGATGAGCAAAATCGCTCAAAGCTTGTATTTGGTTTGGAGGATGGAAACTTAGGTCAACCTGACTTGGAGGTGGGGAAACCGAGGGTCTCGCACGTGTCGAGGAGTCCATTTCATGCAACTTAAGACGACAGTTCCCCGGAACAGACGAAAATGGAAGAATTATGCTGGAACCACACTGTGAGGAAAGTTTGTCGGTCGTCAATTAGCCCGCGTTCAGCTTGCCCCGAGAATAGCGAACCACTCGGTCCCATTATCACACATGACCTGCTTAGATAAGAGGAATGTTCTACAAAGGCGCTTTGAGAATCACCTTTAAGAGGAAAATACAAACTGCTTGAAGATGAATTAAAACGATCGTCTTGTTGTCATTAGTCTGTTGTCTTTGTTTCAATTGCCACCGTCGCATTAGATCGCCCTGTTGCTCGGCCACCAACACCCCTCCGAGCTCGAGTAAGATGGGAGCTGGAGAGCGTGTCCTCATTACTCGCGAAGATATTACTGTATTACTAACCTCCAGATTCAACGAACGAACTCTTGTCAGCAAGGCTGCTGGTATCATGCCAAAAGGGCTTCTAGAAGCAAACACGTGCCTCGGCCCGTTCCATTAAACGTTGAAAGTCTTGCGATTCCACCCCAACAGCTGTAAGCGTGCTGTTTGGCGTCCGACCGCTTATATACACTCATGTTGGACAAAAACTGCCGGGTCGAGCCTCCCTGTTTATTACATCAGGGTGCTTCAACTGTCTTTCCTATTTGCTCTCTTTGGGGAATTTCCAGTCTGCGCCGACTCTTGCCCACGTACAGCCATGACAATCTCAAACTTGGCGTTTGTGTCTTACCTACATAAGGCCTGTTCAAGATCTTGTACTTGCATGAACGGCTCCATGGATTAGGTCTTCCAATTTATGAATGTCAGTTGTGAGAAGTCCTAGTTGCCATGTCACTCCAAGAGGCTCCTGATCCCTGGTAGTAGACTCGTTCATTCCATGTTGAGAGCCCCATGATCGGCACTAACAAAATTTACTGGTCGCGTTGAACAGCGTGTGCTGTGTTTCTCTCGTATGGATCACAGCATTGAAACAGCTCCCGAACACAGTGTAACGGTTTCGTAGACGAGGACCGCCATGGGGACTAGTCGTGGTACAAATTCCGTGTCCAATGATAGTCCAAGTTGGGCTGCATTGAGCCAATCAAATGATAGTCTAGAGTGGGACTAGTTTCCGGAGTATGCCAGGGACGATTCGGGCTCTCGGGTAAGAGGAATCCGAACAATGTTGGTGAGGGGAAGCGGATATTTACAAGACGCGACCTAAGGAATCTTGTGACGACCTTATTCCAAGGTGTTATTGTGAAACCATCCCCATGATGGAGAGATCGTAAGTTTGGACTCAGCACAATTTGATACCTCTAACTCTTCCATCTAGAAAATACGTATTGGTCACGGGTGCAACGGGCTTTATTGGAGCCCATATCGTCGATGAACGCCTCCGACGAGGTTTCCGAGTCCGAGGCTCAACTCGGACCTTGGCCAAGGGGGAGGAAATGATCAAGACACGGGCGCAATATGCCGATAAACTAGATTTCATCGAAGTTGGGGGCTTCGAGAACACCAACGTGTTTGACGGGAAGATGGAGGGTATCGATGGCATCATCCACGTTGCCAATGTAAGTATGATTGTTCTTCAGGCCTCTGATTGATGCTTACAGACATCATCCCATAGCCCTTCACGTACGATGTCAAGGATAACGAGAGAGAGCTCATTCAACCAGCAAAGAACGGCGTGCATGCGATCATGTCTGCGGCAGAGGCTCAACCAAACATCAAGCGAATCGTCATTACATCATCTTTCGCTGCTGTGCTCAACGCCGACGCAAGGCACCTCCTTACTTCGATTACACGAGTGATGATTGGAACCCGTTAACTGAGGAAGAAGCTTGCATACCTGGAACAAGCCCAGTCATTGCGTACAGAGCAGCAAAGAAGTACGCAGAATTAGTCGCCTGGGACTGGATACGGGCTATCGACGAAGGCAAATCTCGCCACTTCGATCTTGTGACACTGTGCCCCCCGATGACATTCGGACCGGTCGTGCATCCAGTCAGCGGGGTTTCGAAGCTGAACGAGTCAAATGCGATGCTTTGGAAAATTGCAAAGGGTGAAACCCCCCTTCCGGTGGCTAGAGTCCCATTCTGGATTGATGTTCGAGACCTTGCTGTGGCGCTTGTTGAGGCGCTCTTACGGCCTGAGGCAGGCGGAAAGCGATACCTCTTGGGAGCCAACGATCGTTTCTCGTACGGTTTGGCTGCGAAGATTATGGCTGACAACTTTGACTGGGCGAGGGACACTGTTGCCCAGGAGGAGCAGGTGATTGACACGTCACACGGTCTGGAGAACAAAACTGCGGCAAAGGAGCTTGGTCTGAACTACCGGACGTTTGATCAAACAGTCGTCGATCTCGTGACCCAAGCCAGAAAGATGGATATTGAAGAGACGAAGTCATAAACTTTGTAATCAGGCTTTGCCCAGGTCTCGTTGAGATGAATTACCGACTTAGTCGGCCAGATCAACGCCTCATATGGATTCCAGCCACGACATTTCAGGTCATATCCAGCCGTGTCCCCCGCAGTCACAGATTTGGTTCATGGTCGTCAAGTAATCCGCCTAAATGCAATTTCTGCCAACCAGAACCGTCGTCGGTACTCAACTTCCGCTCTGACCAATCACATAAATGTCGATCTACCAGGCAATGTGTGAAGGAAAGTCAGCGTCGCTGTGAGATATATGATGTCGGCCCTTTCGGTTTGGCGGCAGTGTAGTCCCGTTATTTGCCTCCGAGGGCTTCCTCGCCAGGGCGTCTATGCGACTGGAGGCAGCATACTAGCGAATGGGCGCATCATTGTGGCCCTCAGAATAGAGAAGTACCTATCGGAGTTTTGGACCTGGATTCCGATGAAAGGTTCGAACATGCCCTGAACCCCGAACTTCGATCTCTGTGGTGATATATATAAGACTAAGCTCTTCAGAGACACTTTCAATTGTTTTTCTCGTCATCATAGCACTTATTTCTCCCGAATCAAACCCTCGTCATGAAGCTATCGTTCCTCTCTACGGTTGCCCTTGCGGCACTTGTCCATGGTCACTGCATCTTCCAAGTAAGTCATGTGAAGGTATTTACCGATCGTGTTCCCGTCACTCATCTTCCGCTTTACAGAAAATATCAGTAAACGGGAAGGAATATGGATCTCTCGCCGGTCTCCGCGCTCCGAATCAGAATAATCCGACAACAGACGTCAACTCCCAGGATATGATCTGCGGTAAAGTAGCCACCTCTTCTCAGGAGGTCATCTCGATCGCTCCCGGCGATAAGATCGGTGCCTGGTGGCAGCACGTCATCGGCGGCGCCCAGTTTCCCGGAGACCCGGATAACCCGATCGCCGCATCTCACAAGGGCCCGATCACCGCCTGGCTGGCGAAGGTCCCCAGCGCTTCGTCCACCGGCATCACCGGTCTCAACTGGTTCAAAGTCGCTGAGGATAACCTTGACACCAGCTCCGGAAAATGGGCCGTTGACAAGATGATCAGCAACAATGGCTGGAGCTACTTCAACATGCCTCAATGCATCGCCCCCGGGGAGTACCTGCTGCGTGTTGAGCTGCTCGCTCTACACTCCGCCCACACCCAGAACGGCGCTCAATTCTACATCTCGTGCGCAAACATCAAGGTCACGGGATCTGGATCCTTGTCCCCGAGCTCGACTGTCAAGTTCCCGGGTGCCTATCAGCAAAGTGACCCGTCCATCTTCATCAACATCTATGGCACTGGTGGTGTCCCCAACAATGGAGGCAAGGCGTATACGGCACCTGGACCGAGACCAGTCACTTGTTGAGACTGCACTACATTGAACTGATAGGAAGCGCGGGCTGTGGTATTTGGTTGTGGATGGTTTTTATTTCTTGGTCCTAAGCTAGCCCATCATTTGTCCGAAATTGCACTCAAAACCTGCACCAAAGGGTAGTTCCTGAATCGAGCAACCATTCATACTTGATAACCTTCTGGCTCTGATGTGCCATTACACAACCCCGATGCTCACACGACCGTCTTCAACCATCACACGTAGATTTATATTAATGCTCATGTCGGCGGTCTTGTTCATCCCGTTGGTTCCCCCGCCACCCGGCCCGACATTGACGCCGGAAAAGTTCCCAGAGCCGACGTTGATGTTTGTCACCTCCGTAATTCTGTCTCCAATTTCAATGGTGTTCCCATCACCGATCGTATTGTTCCCGTCACCGATATCGAAGTCGTCGCCTAGGTGGCAAATTAGCACCTCAATTGAGTAAAAGTATTTGGAAATCTATGAAATTAGAAACAATTACCTACCAGTATCTATATCATTGCCTATACCCGCAAAGCCTACACCGTTCCCATCGCCTGTTCCGCCAGAGCTGACAGAGCCGGAATTGCCGGTCTGGTTCCCTTTAACGTCTTGGCCCACTTGGCGCGGTGACACTATTTGTTCTTCAGATAACAATGAACCAAGGTTGAACGGGAATGGAAGGGCAAGTGACGTTGCTGTCAGGAAGGCAACAAGAATAATCATGCTTTCTGCGACCATCCTGGAAGACAGAGATGATGACATCAGCCTATCATGCCCATGAAATCTGGACTCTTCCGCAGGTTAAAGGTACTGCGAGAAGACTGGCAACGTCCTCCGTAGATGGTAATAAAAGGAATGCAGACTGTGAGCCTTTCTACCTCATCATTGCAGCATGCATTCGTGTCTTTTATGTTATTCTTGGCAGAGCCAATTCTGAAAGTCGTCCAACTACCGAAAAGACCCTTGATGACCATCAATAAGAACGATGTATGACAAGTTCGGCCGCCCTCTTTCCCGACAATTTGGCAAGCTTGCGCTTCACCAAGAGGCTGCCAAGACCCGTCCATGATAGATTGAGCGCGGCAGATAGTCGCTTTAACAGCTCATTTGACCGGCAAAAAGGTGGTGGCCAGTCGAAATCTCCTATTTGGAGTGTCTGTTAATCGGGCAGGCCGCTCTTGAATATGAAACGGGGAGGGTGCCATCTGCGAAGACGGCAGATTTCCAGACGGGCAGGACGGTAACGGTGGCATCGAAAGGCCACCAGCGTCCAGTTTCACCACACAAGGTCGATGATTATCTTTCACAGAACAAACCACCGTCTATGTTAATGATTGGAGTATTGCTCACAATCTCTGTCGCATTCAAATTCGACTGGATGCATGAGTCTTGGCATTGTTCGATGGGGAGTGACCGCTGTGGGATGAACAGTGTGGCCAACACCACATTGAATGGGGATCGGGTCAGAAGGTAAGGTAAAGATGAAGACGAAGAAGAAAGAAAGAGATGACTGCGATTGCGACCTTCGCCAACTATCCTTTTCCTGAATGCGCAGGCGAAGCTGTGGGTTCAAGGGGGAATTCCGAATTCCTGGTTTCGAAGGGAGTGCGCGGGCGCCGAACGAAGCATCGACGGTGGGATGACACACGAGTTTCCACTGTATGATGCTCCTGAGGAACAACACTGCCCACCCACCTGAGCATGAATCATCAGGGATGAACTTCGGTCTTTTCAACCCGGCGGTGTAGGTATATGCTGGCCTGGTCGATTGGCAGGAAGGTCACAAACATTCTCCCACGCATGAAGTAGGAGAAGTCCCGCCGTTGGGGTAGTCTCCTGTCATGGAAGAAAACACGGTGAAGCGCGACCCAGTTGAATGTGCATCAGGGTCCAAAACGATTGACCATCATACTCTTGGCCTGGTGGATCAACGAAATGGCTGCTTGAACTTCAAGCAAGATACTCGACTCGGGACTACCGCAGTAAGAGACAGATGTCTCTCCAGCTTGCACAGCTCAATCACGGTCGCAATGCGATAATTCGATGGGGGCGAGGAATACATCGTAGCCTAACCACTCCGCCACCATGTTGATTTTGCAGAGATATCTGCAAAGTGTAATAGAGTTATTATCAGCTCAGAAACTCACAGCTTCCGATGGTTCAGAAGCACAAATAAAGCAAACGTCCAGTTTGTTTCCTCAAGATCCAGGCAAAGAGGGCTTGAAGTTCGTATTTGATCACTGGCGCCCAAGCTTCATCCAAGTACTTCGGTGGGCTGTTCGGTCACGGCAGCCACAGAGCTCGTAAAGCGACATGCATGGGCTGTCAAAAACGGCGATCGTGTCAATCTCGATAGTAGGTGAGTTGTGAATGTGGATATCAATGATGGTTCAAAAAAAGAAATCTGCTCAACCGCCCGATTCGTGGAAACTAAACATAGCGTAAGGCATTAACTGGCATGAAGCTGGCTGGAGAGGAATGCAGTTCGTAAAAAAACAATCAGAGAGAAGCCCCGGAAACATGGACGCGAGGGGCTTTGTTATTCCGTCATCCATGTCTGGTTTCTGTTGAGTTGGCATGACAGATCATAGCAACAACAATGCCAGCAGGTCCTTGGACGAGAACCACGATGCAGACCTCGGTGAACACGCGCTTGGTGTGCTTCACAAACACGTTGGGTGGTCATAAAGAAGTGGATGCCATGATTGATGACATGATGAAAATCAACAACGATCGCAAAATTGCCCAATTTGCAGCCTTTGGGGAATAACATGAAGCACCCGTTGGCAAGCCCACCAGCCAATTAAATCTGTTAAGGCATTAGGATGGACCCATCCACAGGCTAATTATAGACTCAAAGCCTGTGTCATTTATTCGACACAGGGAACCCGCCTCGGCCGGGCATTCGTCCGAGGCCCCATTGAAAGAGCTCCCGTCGGAAGCGTCCCTTCATGCGGCCCTATGGGCGGCCCGGGCGCCACAACATGGGGAGAGGCCGCCCAACTGGTGGGATTTCCGAATTGCTTCATGTTTGCCGTGAACAGAAGTCCGAGGTTATGTTTATTGCCGTCGCATATCCGACATGTTTCGAAGGTTTCTTGCTTCCACTGAGACCTTTTGCTGGCTTTCGGGCCATAATCAACAATCACTTCTACAACACCGCCATGAAGACTTTCTCCTTTTTTCAATCGTGACAAGGCTGCAAGTGGGCAGGCATTAGGACGCAACTCCGCATCGATTTTCAGATTCGCATCTTCCATGTTGTTTTACAGGGCTACAGGGCTGGTTTCGATGGCGGTGTGCGTATTTCCGGTACCAAGATCGCTGCGTTTTGAGTCAGGGATGGCGAGCCATGGTTGTTCTGCTGCCCGTGAGGAGTGATCATGGCCGAACTCGGCTTCAGTATTGGATGATGGTCGATGGTGGGCTCGCAAGTGGACATCACGGAGAGCATGAGATGACCCTTTGCCGTTGCAACCGATACGGGTGTCCATTGTCCAATCCCCAGCCATTTCGCGAGGTTTGAGTCTAAAACAAGGGGGTGCGGCGTAGGGACTCGCTTAACACCAAAATACATCGTCACTGCAATGCGCTGGCCTCCTTTGCGACCATCGTGTCTAGCGCGCGGTGAATGGGACCAGAAGAGTGAGTATGTAAGCGGCTTCGATACGGACATACGAGGGAGCTCTGTCTTCCGGAATCAATCCGATTGCAAGTTGGCAGGTATAATTCACTAGATAATGCGGCGGAGGGAGTGTCATCTGATGGTTGAATGCGGGAGAGCCCTGAATTAGTGGAGAAAAACAACACTGACGTCTGTATTTATGGAATCTGGTGCCAGTTGCCCCCTACTTCTGGAGCTTAAGCTTTCTGGGGCAGTGTTGGGATGAACACAAGGTGACAAGACGGCCCTTCGGCGCGCCTTCGACGTTGCTTCCTTGCATCGCTCAAAGGGTGCGATTTGAGCCTCTGTGGATTTTGTTCCCTGTTTTAGTTACCTCGACATAACGTTACAGAAGCTTTAGTGGCATATGACGTCGATATTCTCCTATTGCGGGGGACCGGTCCCCCCGAATACGAGTCAAGCATTGCTGAGCTCCACCGATCGTCGGGACTGATCGTCATTAACGAGTGAGGAGCAGTTGGGCTCCTCGTATTTGCAGACTTGCAGCCGAAGTCTGGAGAGATCGTGGCAACGATCCGAGTATATAAGACGTCTGAATTCATCGCCCAAAGTTGTTTCTAGTCCTCATCCACAACACAATCATTCAATCACTCTCCTACAACTCAATAACTCTAATCAACCAACTCAACAACTCTCTTTACCAACCACCAAAACCAACCATCAAAATGCAGTTCCTCACCATCCTCGCCTCTGCCGCCGTCGCTTCCGCTGCCGCTATCCAGCAGCGCGACGTTACCTTCAAGGTCTCTGAGTTCAGCGCTGGCTGCATCCCCCACAGCTCCCAGTGCTCCTACTCTTTCACCGTCATCCAGCCCGGCACCATGGAGACAACTGGTGTCAAGTGCTCCGGCCTCTTCCAGGCCCAGGGCACCAGCACCCTCCCCGACGTCAAGGAGGCCCCTTGCACCGACTCTTCCCGCACCTTCGACGTCGTCCGCTCCGCTGAGGGCCTGACCCTCACCGTCTCCCAGCCCGTCACCCCCAGCTCCAACCAGACTGGCTCCCACCTCATCCCCAACGACCAGCTCGTTGTCGCTACCCAGCCCAACGCCCAGGTCCAGTCCTACAACGGCCCCGCTGCCTTCGACCTCGAGTAAGCGGTTCGACAACCAGCTGTCATCGACGCTTGACTCCGGTCACCTCAGACTTTTCATTCGACGATGGGCGACCCCTGACCTTGGCATTGCAATACCAAGCAAGCAAAACAATGCATGCAGAGGTGGAAGACTGGCGCTTGCTCAGTCCAGGGCTGTACAACTCAATTTTGATAGACTTGTAACATAGAAAAATGCATTTGGATCCATTTGGCAAAACCTTTTCCTCGCTTCGCTCGTGATCTTATCTCCCTACTCTGTGTCACAACTATTAGTTCAAGCCATAACACATGATTTTACTTCCAGGGCTGAGTCGATATGACCAGACATAATGACTGATCACTTCTAAGAACAACCATGAGTTGGAATAGAAATACTAGCCTCTGGGGCCATTGATATTGCGCGGACTAGTTGTGTTGACCTTTAGATCTGCTGACCCATAGCGCTAATGTCTTTGACTGCCTCGAGTTCAGGCAAAAAGCTATCGAACTTTCCCTTGATCATCTTCCACGCCGTCGCGACTAAGGGCACTCGCAACGGAATCTTCTCCCCGCGGCTTGCGATACCATAAATGGCATCCGCAATGGCAGAGGGTTCAGCGCCCATGCCCATCTTGAGCCCTGCGTTGACGTATCGTTCAAGGGCTCGGGCAGGCATGTCGCTGGCCGCGTAGGCTGGATGGGGAGCGGTATGGGCCTTGCTGTGACCTTCAAAGTTAGTCTTGACTCCAGCAGGCTCCACGATACAGAAGTTGACTGTGTTCCGAAATTAGCCCTGCGATCGAGCAACGAACATGAAAGACAGGATTATTAGGCTCACTGTTCCAATCCGGATGCATCTCCCTGGCCACAGACTCAGACCAGCCCTCAACAGCCCATTTACTCGCATGATAGTAGGCGTGACCGGGAAGTCCAACCTGACCCGCCAAAGAGGAAATGTTGAAAATGACACCGCCTCGGTGCTCCGGATGCTGGCGCATGACTCCGATAGCCCGGGTCGACACCCGTGCGGTGCCGAAAAACAGGGTCTCCATTTCCAAGTGGGTCTCCTCCTCGGTTGCCGACTCCGTGTCGCCGGAAAGCGAGTACCCGGCGTTGTTCACGACAGCATCGAGATGAAAGTCTTTCCCAAAGTGCTCGACTGCCGATTCAAAGGCAGCATTGACGGATGTTGGCGATGTGACGTCCAACGCAAGCTTGAGGATGTTGGGGTTGTCGTCGGAGAGATAAGACAGATCTGCAGGCTTGCGGCCCGTGGCGATCAACCGGTGGGAAGGTTTGCTGGCGATTAAGGTCGCCAAGGCTTTCCCGATACCAGAAGAGCAACCGGTGACTGCACAAGGATAAGTCAGTTTTTCGACGGAGATTGGTGAAATGAGGCAGCGCTAGGGGGAAAACAAACATACTCAACCAGGTTGCATCGGCGGGCAAGTTGTATGGTTTGGTGTTGACGGGATTCATGACCAAGAATGGGGAGAGCCTGCAAGGTAAGAGAGGGTCTAATTTGTATTATTTATGAATCATTTGCAACATCCACGGATCTTCATTGCACGGCGGGCCACGACTCTTTATATCTTCATTGTTGTATCTTGTTTTACCCTGATTTCAGGCGCCGTAGCACCAAAGGGCTTACTCCGGGAGATCGGCAGTCGGCAACTAATAAGTTTCGCAATGCCCTAAATCCTTCGTGCAATGAAAGCAGCCGGGTGAGTCAACACGACTGGCAGCAATGCGGCGAGCCCAAAATGGCTGGCCGATGGTCGCATCTTCACGCTTATGTCTGTCAGCATGCCGCAAAAGAACCCCACACGCCGTGGTCCTGCTTACCTGGATTTGTCCTCTCGCACTCGCCTACTAATTCAAGCCACACACTGGACGCGCGTTTGTATAGATCAAGCCACCAGAAAGCTGGATATCTTCTCAGGCGCCGATTGCTGGTTGTACGAATGTCTTTGACACGGCCAATGAAGGTCACGTCAAGCTGCCCGATTGTCTTGATAACATCCATAGGTCAGTCGGCTCATCCAACGGTGATGGTGGTTCCACCACGGAAGGCCCATCAGCTGTGCCTCATTCATATTGCACCCGCCTCATGATGTTGATTGGTTTGCTGTGGGTGGCGGAATCGGGGGAGCTACTTGATACACCCAGACTCACAATTGACAGATAGGTGCGCATTACTTAAGAATAAGCTGGTCGGGTTATTGGTCGAATGCCGAGAATGGCACGGCCTTCGTTACTCCAATCATTAAAGGCAGATGATATTGAAGTCTCTTTCAAAATATCCCCTTCTGTCCTTACAGCCCACGGTGCCGCTAGTAGTCATGCCCAAGACGATGCCTTGGCAAAGGGCTGGACTGAAAACGCACTGAAATCACACATGGTCTGATCTTTAGTGATTTGGTTAAAAATTGAGTAATCAGGAAGCTTTTCTCAGATGACCCAGGTAAAGACTGAGCCTGAGTCTGTCTTCCATTTTCTTCCACCACTACCACCTTTGCTGACAGACATCTTCTCCACACATTTCGAGCCGACCAGATTGTGCGACTAGATATTACAGGGAAACCCAGACTTAAATGACAACTTCACTTGCTTGGTCTTGAGCCCTGAAATACGTGTTGATTTTCGCGTCTTGATATAGCCAATTGACATCACGACTGCGTGACTGGAACTTGCAGATGATGAGGTCGGGTCGTACAAAGACGCGCGCTCAGTGTTGTGGGGAAGAGCAGGGCGCACCACCACCGCGCCCGATGTGTCCACAAAATTCGCTCAATTACCCATCTCCAACTCCCGCCTTCACCGCCTACGCCGACGACCGAAGCAAGACATGGCGCCACGAGACGCATCGCCCCCAAGGCTACTACCTTATGCGGATCCCGAGGAAATTTACCCCGAGCATGTACGCTTGGAGGAGGAGACTTTCCCTTGGTACCATCCGGACAACTGGTACCCTGTAACAATCGGCCAGGTCTTTGAGTCGCGTTACCAAGTCTTGTTGAAGCTGGGTTTTGGTTCAGCGTCGACGTCATGGCTATGCCGCGATTTGAGGTATTCGTCTTTTAGGATTTTACTTAGCTGGTTCATACTGAGTAATTTTGCAGAGAACATGTCTACGTCGCTCTCAAAGTCTTCGCGGTCGGCAATAGTCAAGCTGCAACCGAAGAAAAGGTACTCCGCCATTTGGAATCTGTCAAATCTGATCATCCCGGAGCAAAACTAGTAAGGCTTCTCAAGAACACTTTCAAGATTGCAGGCCAAAATGGTAGTCATCTGTGTCTTGTTCTTGAAACTCTCGGTATATCCCTTGCAGACATTCGTGAGATGGCGGGCGGCAGGGTGCCTCCAACTCTGTTGAAAGGCTTGGTCCAAGGCGTTTTACTCGGTCTGGACTACCTGCACACGGTGGCAAATATCATTCACACAGGTATGTCTCCGATTTCATGTCTTTAGAAGTTTTGGGGCAACGACTAACAAACATGCTAGATATTCAAGATGGGAATATCATGTTATCAATTAGAGACACGGATGTCCTTGATGCTCTCGTAGAAGATGAATGGGATCTGCCCAGCGCTCGAAAGATTATCAAAGATCGGGTGATTTATGCGTCGACGGGGCTAGAAATTCCAGACCAGCCCGGAGACCCCGTTATTGCTGATTTCGGAGATGCTCGGATAGATGAAGGCCCCTTTGAATTCGAGGAGGAAGTTATGCCTGATGTCTATCGAGCCCCCGAAATAGTGCTTGGTGTGCCATGGAACGAAAAGATCGATATCTGGGCACTAGGATTGTTGGTACGTAGAAGAAACTACGACAGGATTCAGAGCATGCGAGATAACCGAGACACAGATATGGGACTTGCTTGAGGGTAAACTACTTTTCAAGACTAGACTACGTGATCCAACGGTATCAACGGCAGCGCACTTTGCAAGGATGATCTCTCTGCTCGGCCCCCCGCCGGAAGACCTCTTAGAGCGCGGTTCGGCTTGGAAAACTCTATTCGATGAAGATGGTATGTTTGAGACTCAGAGTAATACCGTCAATTCTTTCTGACATAGTCCGCAGGGCGACTCATACTCGATGTTGAAGTTTCAGAAACCTCTCTTGAAGAAGAAGAGGGGGTGTTAGAAGCTGACGAAAAGGCGGAGTTTCTGGCATTCCTGCGGAAGATGTTGCAGTGGAGACCGGAGGACAGGCTCACAGCGCGTGATCTAATGGAAGACCCCTGGCTACGCGGAACTGCAGCGTGATAACTACAGTGGGATATCGGCCTCAATTTGAGAATGACAAGCCATTGTGGGATGTTTTGAAATAACTTCATGCTTGAGGGCACGTAAAATATGATGCAACCGAGAGGGGTTGTGAATTGACAGATCTGTCCTGCTTGATGAATTGAAGGCGAGAGAAAATGGTCCCATGGGAATGAATGAGCACACACATGGATTTCGTAGCAACCGAGGGTTGAAAATTCCACCGAAATTCAAAACAGAAAATGACTTGTCTTCCAAACAAACACTGAGACTCAAGAACCGACCAACAAGGTAGGGCATTTTTGCCTACTAGGCCTCCTGCGGAACACTAAACTCACACAAAGTAAAAGCACTCAATCTCTCTTTGAATAAGAACGGCAGATCTCTAGAGCCCGGAATGTTAGCAATTCATCAAGAGGACATGGAGAGGTCAATGAAGCTTACGTTCGGGACGGTGCTCTTCACTTCGCGCCATGGCTTCATTGGATTCTTCTCGTCTTTCTCGAGATTCTCAATGCTCCAGAATTCCGGCTTGCCATTACTATTCGCCCACAACGTGATATTATGGTGTTCCCTTTTTTTGAATTCGATTCTCAGCTCGTTGCCTTGGTCATCCGTCAAAGTTTGCGCACTCGGTAGAGATCTGAATTTGCCACCGTCGCTGTGCTGCTCACTCTCCAAAACAGTCTTGTCGCCATCCTTGGTCTCGGAGATTGTGATGTTCGCCATGTAGACGTCGTCATTTTTATGTACATTACCCCGGATTTATTGGCTGATATGAACAGTACGTTTGAGCGGCTCATCTGTACTTGAGGATGGAGGGCTTGATGATGGTGCTGTGGAGCTTGGTCCTGGGGTTTTGGTGGCAGATGATTTGCTCGTGGCGACTGCCTTGTTGCCGGGGGAAGTAGAACCTGGTCCCGTCGCCGAGTGGGAACTGGTAGAAGTAATACTGGTGGAGGTCTTCCCCGAGGAATTGGATCTCCCCTTTGATGCGGATGCTGAGGCGGATCCTCCATCACCTGATGCAGATGGTCCATTACCGGCAGCCAGAGGAGCTGGGCAGGCGCCACTTCCATCGTCACGAGCCGCAACGCTCCCATCTCCTTGATAACACCAAGACGATTCAAAAATCGTCTTGTTGTAATATTCCCAGAACACTCTAATGGTAGGACCTCGGTTAATCCCATTTATCTTGTTGGCCGGGTGGTATTGGAAGAAGGCAAGGCCCGCAGAAGACTCCGGCTGCCAATAGTTCATGGCCCTGTCTCCGTCCGGTAGGGGCCTAGGCATACCCGGCCAGTATGAAGGACCTTTGACGTAAGCCTGAACCATAATCTTGTCACGAGGAAATCCGAGGCTAACGATGAAGTTTTTCCACTGTTCGACTCGAGCCTCGTGCCTCACCTCTTGATCTCTGATAGGATCTACGCGCTCCGGAGACATGAATCCAGCCCTGGGAGTGAAGATGATGATTTGCAGTGTGTCTTCCTGCATGTTGTCGAAAATATGCGTCTGCTCCTTCAACTGGTCAATGCCCCTGTGACGTGCGTCTCCCTCTTTCAGAAACCTCTCCACGCCCTTGTGGAACTCGTCGTTGAGGTTGATTCCCGGGTATCGATCTGGATTCGCAAAATTTGGGACCTCCCAGTTGTGACTCACGTAAATCCCACGTTTGGTGATGATCATTAGAATACTGCAACCCCATACCGGGCCGCTTCCACCTACGATTCCTTTGTCACCCCACTCACTGACTTGCATCGTGGAGTATCCGTACGCAGCCAAACGCGAGTTGCCATCGTTGTCCCTATATCTGTGGAAAGTTTCCTTTGCGGCTTTGCAGTAGTTCTGAATTTGGCGCCACAATCCGCAAGCGCCATGCGGTCTCACCAGCAGGCCAGGTGACCACAAACGTTCTTTCATGTATGGGAAGTGTCAGATTGGTGTCATTTCTCTGGGCCCATATTCCATCAGCATGGTTAAGTAATTCATCGTCATCGGGAGGGTTCCAGGTGACATAGTTGATCACTCTCTTTGATAGACCGGACTGCGTCTCATTAGAGGAAAGCTCACAGTCCCCGCACTCGGAATCTGGGCTGCAAAAGAATTCAGTAGGGGTGGCACTAGCTGTAGAGATTGTTGTAGTCGTTGTGGTCTCGACCGTTTTGCTGCAAACGACCGTTGGCTGACAGGTAACCGTGAAACATGACGTGCTGAAGCTTGAAGACTTGTCGATGGTAGTGACTGGTGTAGCGACACAGCTTTGGCCGCAATTGGGATATAATGTGGTAGAAGCAGTGCAAGACGACTCCGACGAGGTGGTTGTGGGGGTCTCCGAAGGCTTCGGATCGTCAGGATCGCTTGGGTCACCCTTCCGGGGCTCCTTGGGAGGTATAGGTGGTGGCTGAAAAACACGGTTAGAAGTAGCACATCTGATTCATGAGAGAAAGCTTACCGTGGCCCACGGGAACCCCATGGGGCCTGGAAGCTTGAGCTGAGGCATATTGCAACCGAGAAACGGAATAAGACATTGAGGATGGCAAATCGGCCCAATGCAGCCCCAGACGGGTACGATCCAAGGAAAGATGATGCCACCATCGGATGAGGAGGTGGTGACTTCAGAGGAAGTCCATGTAACTTTGGTTGTTGAATCCACGCCTGGCGGCTGCGTTGTCGTAGCGGTCATGAAGAGGACGGCGTAGGAGTTGTCTGAACTGGTGGAAGTCGTGGAGCTGACACCGCTTGTCGCGCTGCCACCTGGCTGAGCTGTTGTTGATCGGGCGGGCGACGATGTGCTGGACACCCGACTGCTCCCAGATGAAGGAGAGGTGGAAGACTGATTGTCCTTGTTTGCGGTTGTTGAAGATTCATCGTCATTCTTTCTGTCAGTTGACGAGTTGCTGTCTTTTTGCTTGCTCGTAGATTTGCTTCTATCGTTCTCCTGAGCTGTAGAGGTGCCGTCGCTGTTCCTTTCAGTTGAAGAAGAGGCATTTTTTTCTCCTGGTGGTAGATGATTCGTCAACATCCTTTCCAGCGGTGGAAGAATCTGGTCCATTTCTCTTGGTGGTATGACTACTGCTGGCATCCTCGGTTGATGTGGTGTGAGTTTCGTCTTCAATTGTGGACTTGGGGCTAGTTCCGATGATGGACGACAGACCTCCTCGGGGAGTGTCGTCGCCTAAAGAGGTGGTGGAAGACTCTGCTACATTGCCTTTTGTCGAGGCTGTGTTTCTTGCAGAAGAAGCGGGTGCGCTGCCGCTTAACGTACCAGAAGACTGGACGATGTCATCTTGTCTGCTCGTATCGACAGGCCTGGTGGTAGAAGAACCTGTGGTAAAGGCAGGGGTAAGGCTTGTGACTGATGAGGGTGGCAGGACAACACCCGGACTTTCACTATGCCTCGTTGCAACCGAATGAGATGTGTTGGTGCGTCCTGGCTCGCCCACGCACAAAGACCTGTGAGTTTGAGAGGGATTGAAGGTAGAATTAAGTCTCTGGGAACGCTGGGTTGGGAAAGTAGGGCCAGTTCCCGTTGAAGAGTAGTTCTGGTCAGTCCCTCCAATCGTGCTCGAGAGGACGTTGGTTTCCCCAGAATGACTGCTTTGCGGCAACGTATCATTTGAGCCGGGGATGGGTGACGTAGATGTAGAGGACAATCCTGGAGGGTTGGGCGTGGTAGAAGTATTGGCGAATGGGCCGCGGAAACTGGATTGCAGGGTGGTCGCACTATTAAATGTAGGACTAGTGCTGGTGTTCGCTCCAGGGACAGCTTGACTTGACAAATTCAATGTGAGTACCGAGGAAGCAGGAACATCTTGAGAGGTAATTGAAGGCGTGACATCGCGAAGGCTTTTGGAGAATGTAACGAGAACGTATGTGGTCAGAAAGCTAGTAATAACCTGTCCATCCTGGAGTTCAGAGGTTGTAACAGATACCGCAGTCTCATTGCCGGTGATAGCGGAAGCAGGGTTATTGGTGACGTCGCGTTTGTTCTTGTTGGCTGATGGCAGATTGATTAGAATATTGTCGTATCGCTTGTGAATATTACAGGATAGTCTCTAACCTTCGAGCCCGGCATGACAGACGTCCAGAAGAGCAGCGCAGGCGACCAAAAAGATGAAGAAGCTTCGAGTTGTCTTTGGCGACAGCCGTCGCAACCCCATTCTATCAGAGTAGCTTCGATACAACAGTATGGTCATATTGAAGACCAAGATCAGAGGTCTGTGGTCACAAAACGTAATGAAAGAGGGCTGAAAGTAAGCTTGTGAGCTTGGTAACGACGTTCGATTGATCACAGCAAATGAGTGAGACACCGGTAGCTATTTCTTCAGAATCGCAGCCTTCATATTTCAACAGTATCCTCTCTTCCAACTGCGAAGATATTATCAAGCCGAGAGAACCGCAGTTTAATCTTCTTTGTTCCAAATGTTTATCATAGGTACGTGTCGGAGAGTTGCTGCCAGGAAACATGATTACGGCGGCACAGCTCGAGCCTGCAGGAATGGCCGGCAAGGGGTTACTTTCATCTGCGCTGTTGTGAGTCTTCATCAGCCATGCAGTCCGAGATTTCGATATGCAGTTGGTCTCAAGATCTCAGGTCCCAATGCTCAAAGTCTGCCTGTTTGTGTCTAATGCTGTGAGACAGTGGCACAGGCCTCGCGTGTTCAGCTAAGTTGAGTTGCTAGTAAGCCACCAAGGGCCTCGACTATCTGATCATCGGCATACTGCTTTGACAGCCGACTCATTCTATCTTCGGAGAATCAGCATGCCGTGTTGCCTCCTTGCCGATGCGACAATCGATCAGCGGCACCGTTGTCAAAGACGCGAAAACGCAGGGTTCGTTTTGTGGCTGTCGGCGATACACAAGCTGCAATGCCGTACGACGCAGCCTGAGGGTCCACCAACCCCATGGGTAGAGTAATCAAGTGCAAGATAAACTTTAAGACTACTGCCGGGTCGTGCTGTTGCGATCCTTTGTATCAACAACCACAGTATGTGTGCGAGCAAGGCTGTCGACTTCGTTGATGACTGACCGTAACAGCTGAAAGCTTATTCGGCGCAGTTTGAGTATTATGCAAACAAAAACAGAAATGGAACATTGCTCCCTGCAATTCTTCGGTGCAGTTCTTGTTATACATCCAGGCATGTGCTTGAGTCACTTGCTGTCTTTACTGCTTGACGTGATAACTTAGACTATTTGCAGGTGCTATCGCTATTCTGAGTATTTCACTGTGGTTGTTGTACTTGACTTCATCATCACCGTGGCTGTTATCCCTCGCCCTCCTCCTCGATGATGTTCTGTAGCCTTTACCCCCCACCCTTTTGAAAAGGCAAAGACTGACCAGGCAATTCTCTCAACGAATCTGACTCTTACTGCAGACAGCCTCAATGGAGATCCGAGGGTCGTACAACAGAATAATGATTGAGTAGTTCTTTGGATGATCGTAAAGGCTTGCGCGAACGTGGGATTCGCAATCCGTGTCTGTTTCGAATCGTCAAGGTCTGTAATTGGTGCTCACACGAGAGAGAACCTGGAATATCTGGTATCCACCCAAGCCAATCCGTAGGAGAAAATTGCGTATAATCCATAAAGGTATGGAATCCATTGAGGTGAAGAAAAGCTGGGCACTTGCAAACAAAACTCATCTGGCCTGCTGACAACTTCTTTCTTTCAACCTGCTTCAGTGTGTGCACACGACATTTTTATCGGACCCCCTTACTTGACGCTCCACTGGCGAAAGCCCTTCCGGGTCTGGTGCGAAGTTCGAACCAACAGCACTCACCAACACTACTCACCAAGCACAACGCCATCTCCATGAAACAATTACTGCAATCCTTCCAGGCAGGGGCGAGGCGTCTGGGTGCCAGGCTCGTCTGGTCCGCCAACATGTCCCAGGTGCCGCGCCCTATTGACGAAGAAGACCTGGCAGGCTATCGTCCAGGGGGCTACCACCCCGTCCGAATCGGCGACCATTTCAACCATGGCAAGTACAAAGTGCTGAACAAGCTGGAATACGGGGGTTGTTCAACTGTTTGGCTTGCCCGGAATAACGAGTGAGTAACATGCGACTTGAGCATTGTACCTTATCCAAACTCACGGGTCGTCAGGACCGAGAGCCACGTTGCACTGAAAGTCCTCGCCGCACACACGTCCAAAGTCGGACTAGACATCAACGAGCTGGATATCCTCCTGAATGTGACCTCGAAATCTGCGACAAATCCAGGGACAGCCCATGCCCTGGGTCTTCTCGACCACTTTGAGCACCGCAGACCTAATGGAGACCACCTATGTCTTGTGTCCAAGCCTATGGGCCCGAATATGTCGGTGTTCAGAACTTTGTTCCCGAAAGCGAAGATTCCGGTGCCCACGGTGAAGAGGGTTTCAAAGCAGCTTCTTCTTGCACTTTCCTATCTTCATGATGAGTGCCAGGTCATTCACACAGGTCGGTAATTAAGCCCAGCGCTATTCGGTTCATTGCTAACTTGCCTCCGTTGAAGACATTAAGCCAGCAAACATCCTGATTGAAAGCCCTAGGATCAACGAGCTATTTGAGCAGGCGCCCTCAGAATTATTCGTGTCATCCGATGTGACTCTTCCTCCACCAGATGACTTCTACATAGGTTCGCATGAGTTTTGTGCAGGAGACGAAGACATCACAGAGTCGAGCGAGCTTTCAGTACGACTGGCAGACTTCGGTACCTGTAAGTGTCGCTGTAGCCTACGCAATAGGAAGACGGCTGATACGGAGTAGCTAGCTGGTTTGACGATCACTTGACAGAGTGGATCCAGCCCGCCATGCTTCGGGCTCCGGAAGTAACACTCGGGGCTGATTGGGATCATAAAGTGGACATATGGAACTTGGGGCTTGTGGTAAGTCATTCTGATTACGCAGCTTGAGTAAACAGCCGTACTCACATCGCAACTCAGGTATGGGAACTCACCCAAGGGACCGTCCTGTTCGACGGGAGCTGGACGCCTCAGGATCCGTACACAGGCGAGGCCCAGCTGGCGCAGATGACATCCCTTCTGGGCGCCTTCCCCAAGTCCTTGCTATCTCGGTCGAGGGAATGCGATCGGTATTTTACGGAAAAAGAAAACATCTACGGAGCTAAATGTGCGCTAGGTAACCTTTTGAAGCCCTCAACATTCGGCTCTCTATGCCTAAACGACATGTGCAAAAACAGGCTGAACTGCAACATGTCAGACTCTGACCGTGCAGACTTCTTGGATTTCATCATGGCGATGATAAGACTTGATCCAGCCGAAAGACGGGATGCGAAGACGTTACTGGGACACAAGTGGATTCAAGAGTCGTGAGAATATTGTGGACGGCAGTATCAGAACCGTCGCCTCCCGAACTCAAATACAACACGCCAAGTTCTCTCGGCCGAGGTTGCCGTGGCCATGAACATGTCCGCCGCTAGGTACTCGCGAGATACTTCCCCGGCCTCGGCTATCCAGCTCGGACCGTCAGCTGGTATGGTCCACGATCCAGGATCCCGTGCCGATCCCCCGACTTCGTCACATTCCTTCTTCGCAGACAGCAAAGATCCGCACAACACACTTGGAAAATCAGTTCACCAACCACCCAACCCCCCTCAAAGCTTTGATAAGAGCAAACTCATACATTAATATTATTCAAAAATGCTGCTGCGATGTAACGTCTATCCGCCTTTTTTGTGTTCATGTACTCCATTAAACCAGCCCCGTCCGAAGGCTCCGGAACCATGCAATGCTATGCCCCAAGGAATGACGAGCAAGCGAAATGGCGATCATCAGAAATCGTTCAAGCATATCGCCGGAAAGCGCAAACTCCTGCGCTCGGCCCTTTTTCTTCCCCAACAACAACAAGACCAACATCCACCTTACGCGACGGCGGAAATCTCAGTGATGGGCGTGGGCAGCGTGATCTTGTCGCACTTGATCTCGCGCCTCGAGTAGACCTCGCCAATGGTCCAGTTCAGGTTCTGCCAGCTCGTCTCCTCGCACGAGAGATCAGCGACGGCGCCGCCCTTTGCGGTATACCGAGCCCTGCCCAACCATTCTAGTCAGCCTCCATCATTCTTGTCCACGGGGCCACATGTGAGAGAAACTTACGGGTACTTGGGGTCATCGTTGCACGTCCAGCTCTGGTTCAGCGCCAGCGCGCCGTCGGGGCGGCTGAAGGTGAAGGACGTCGTGGCGCTCTCGCCGTCGGGGGCCTTGCAGTCGTAGACCATCTCGCCGTAGAAGAAGTCGTTGAGGCGGCTGCTCGCGGCGGAGCAGGAGACGGTGTAGTCGAGCACCGGGTTGGAGACGTTGAAGCTGACGTAGCCCCACGAGTTCTGGTGCGCGGGCGTCGTGAAGATGTAGCTGGCGTGGAAGTCGAAGTCGGTCAGCGTCCACTCGGAGAGCTTGCCGGACTTTTGGCCGCAGGTCGGCTCGTCGCGGGGGGCAATGGGCGAGGCGAGCGCCGGGGCGAGGAAGAGGAGCGTGGAGAGGAGCTGCATTGTGGCGGTGGTGATGTTGAGATTGAGGATTAGATTAGGTGAGGTTGGTAAGGATGAGATGGGATTAAGGAGTTGCGATGAACTGTTGCTCTGTGGTGATAATGCAAGATGCTGCTGGATGAGATGCAGTGTTCGGACGGGGAGCACGTCCAGCTTAAATAAACCTCGACAACCAACCCATCAAAGGTCGCGTGCGTGAGAAGAAAAAGATCGTCGAATGTTTGTTGGTTGGCTCCATGCCTGTCAACCTCAACCCAGCCATCCATCCGCATGAAAGTCGGTAAAGCCGGAGGACACAAAATGTTGAAGAGAATGACGTCGCACGGGTTGCCTTGCTCTCGTATTCCCCCTCAATGGAAAATCCTACCGCACATCACTCTGTTTTTTTTCTCCTTTGCATTTTAGCCGCATCCCACCCGGCGCCCATCCCCCTCACAAACGCAGACCGCGGATCGCAGCCGTTGCTAGTCAAGCGGGCTGCGGTAGAAACAAAAAGAGGGGGGATGCCATATACCGCATAGCACAAGAACCACATAAACACTAAAAAAACAGCCTCACTGGAAATGCCCGATTCCGGGGAGCGCGAAAAGTATGCGATGCAGGCCCGTAGCGGAGCCCGGTATGCCATTATTAGCAGGCGTTGTTTCTGCCGTCATGCGACCCTCTGCGAGCTAAAAAGATTAAGTCTAAACGGTGACTGGCTGCGGATGGGAAGGGCTGCCGATCTCTGGGCTCGTGTTGGCAGCAGAACCTAGCTCTGCGATGCGCATTAACGGTTGCACACACAGCCTGTCGAATGCAGCCACGATCTCCCCTGGCGGTGCAGAAGACTTTTGAGCCCGTTTGGTAGGGCGCACGGTTAGGTACGGGTGGCTGGATTTATTGGTGGTTGGGTTGGGACGGCATCTTTCAGGGTCCTGGCTTGTTCGAATTGCCGGATGGAATAGGGATGGAATGTTTCTGTGTTTCTCCGTTACATCGTTCGATTTCTTTACGAGGTGGAATAGATTGAAAATGCGCCTGTGTTGATTCACGCGCTCGTCTAAACGCACGATCAATACGGGCGTTTCTTCCCTGGGCTGCTGCAAGGAGGGACTGAATTCGTCTAGACGTGCATGTCCGAGTTCCTCACTGTCGAAGTTGGAGCCCCACGGCCGAAGGTTGATGATCGCTCCACTGAGGGGAACCGCTGCGGCCGGCGCTTGTCATGCTCGTCATGCCACCCCGGCGGGCCGATCGAGCGAAGCGGAGCCCTGGGTGAGATCTTTTTGTCCCGCGAACAAAGGACGAGTCCAGCCACTCCCGCGGGAATACGATGTCCGGCTCACTGGCCGTGTTTTTCGCCTCTTCGGTAGCGTAGGGAACGTTACAACAGTTGGTGGCTGTGCCTGATTCTACGTTCTCACCGACTTGGAGATCTTTCACCGACTCCAGATGGCTCCGGCGTGCGCTCGGCCGAGTGGACATGGCTGATGTCATGCTGTGTAGCGCGAGAGAACGGTCTATCGATTTCGTGAACGGGGGCGACAGGATCTGACCGCCGGGAACGTAAGGCTTGTGATCGATGGGTATTTTTGGGCAGCTGAATGTGAGCGGTCTGCAGCTAACCCCGAGTAATGGATTTTGGCGGGGTGTGTTGATTCAATAGACTGGTCGCATCGTAGGCAAACGGGCCGAACGGTGGAATGCGGACACGATGGCGGGGTAGTTGGCGGCGATGGGCTCACGAGGGCTTCATGAAACCAAGGAATGCCTCTGACATTTTGAGTATGTCGCATTCAGGAACCCTCAAGACCTGTAGTGAGCACTCTCAAGCTGGTATCAGCCCCGAGCACTGGCCTGTAATCGCTGGGTGGAAGATGAAGTCCGATAACATTCGAAAGGACGCCTTCCAGACAGACCAGCGTCAGGAAGGCATGAACTCATCTGCGACAAAAGATGATCAGCTGGTCCTACTCGTGATATCGCGAGGATAAGTTGCCCACGCATTCAACGATGAGAAGGACGCAGACGAAGAGAAAGCGTCTCTTCAATGTGAGTGGTACCAGCCACAAGTTGCAATCGAGGCGCGTGGCTGTGCCCCCAATCCCGAACGGACCCGACCCCTCCACTACAGAATCCGGCGGAAGCGGCGGGAAGACACGAGCCTATGAAGAAGCGTCCATTGCCCACGCCCGGCGCCCGAGTCACGGAGCCGGCACATGGGCCCAGCCTCCCCTCCCGACAGGCCCAGAAACCTCCGGATCCTGTCGCGATGAAAGAGATAAGATAGAGGTCATCATGAGTGGTAGCAAGAGCCCAGGTGTGCCAGATTGAAGATCAGGGCCCCTCCCTTTGGACCTTGAGAGATTCAGCTTCGCGGATGCCCTGAGCCTGTACAGCTCTTACTGTTGTCGTTAGATCACTTATTGAAGCTCTTCTCATCTGTGACATTCTAAGGATTCCAACGGATCGTGGAAAACCATTTCCTGAGTTACGAGTGATCAAAGAAGAGTCCAGATCCTCTCTTCGTCAAGCGCGGGGGAGGGGTAACACAAACCCGCGCGAACCTTCGAACCTCTCCGCTCTTGGAACCGCGCAGATGCTCACCAACGAATGAGAATTAATCACATCCCACGTTCTCATTTCCCGCAGCGTGCGATGCCAACCTCAACCCCCGATCCGGCGCGCAAAGAGCCCCACGTGGGTGCCATGGTTTGCCCGTAGAAAAAAAGGGTCTCGGTGGTGGTGGTGGGGCGGCCGTCGCAGCTTCCTTCCGAGTTTGGGGTGTTGGACTTGGACATGGTGGAGGGGGTGGAATATTCTGGACAAGAGCGCTGTTAAGGTAAATAGCGGCACCGAGGCGCCTGCCACTATCATGGCTATTGAAGACTTGTTGTATCTCGAATGTCGTTCCTCTGATCAAGTTTCACAAAGATTCCGATTCTGAGCACCGGAAAAGAAGCGCAGTAGCTGCGTGGGAGGGAAGAACGGGTATCGTTGCATTCAGTCGTTGGTGACCAGATGCCATGCCTCCAGTCAATAAATATCTCGAATTCCAACGCCAAGTTGCCCATGCCGTTGCCCCTCCTGATGCTGACGGCGGCAGCACCCATCACACCCCTCACTTGAGCCCCTGCACTCCAAAAGGCACCGCCGTAGGTCGTGACCAAGCCCTTGCTGAGACCTCATCTGCCATCATGAACAAAGTCGCCATCCTCACGTCGTCGACGCACGAGCCCGGCGTGAACATCCGGCAACGGTCCCTGATTGCCCTCTTTGGACCAACTTTCGACCTTGCCATCCGCTTCCAGAGACTGGCCGCAATCGCCTCGTCGCTATTGTTCGTCTACGGTCATCTGCTCGCTACATCAACGCTCTCGTCGACAGTGGTTGCGACAAGACTCTTCGCCACTCATTCGGCTTATGTCTCCCGAAAGTCCCTGTCGGCGCTTCGATTTTCGATGCGAACGGCGTGGAACTCCAAGAAGATTCGGCATATGAGGAAAAAGGTCTTCATGGAGTTTGCGACAACGATACTCGGTCCCGGGGGCAACATGCTGATCATCATGGTCTTCTGGCCAGGGTGGTTTCTGATCCTCGGAGCCATCCTCGCAGTTCGCCTCTTGGCAGGCTGAAGGATTGATCGAATGCCTCTCGGCACGATCGCTCCTTACGAATACTTTGCCCAGCTGATATATCCAAATCGGCTGAACAATGGACGTTCACCTCGAGAAGAAGAAAGTATTGCCGCCGGCATCTTTCCGGACTTCCTTCTGGTAGTCTTTTTCAGGGTCGAACTCCTGCCACATGCTCGCTGGGTAGATGTGCTTATTGCGCTCATACCAGCGCCGGTCCACCACCTTTGTCAAGGTCGGATCATCGGTCGCCCCCTCAAGGGTGTTGATATCGGGCAGAGCCTTGACAGCGGCCGCCTTAGCTTTCAACGCGGCAGCGGTGGTCAGGCCGCCATCGGGGACCGCGGGCGTCTCCTTGGCTTCGGGCTCGTCCGTCTTGGGCGGGGCGTCGGCGGTGTAGGTGAAGAGCTGCTGGCCGTCGGGGCCAGTGCTCTTGTTGATGATGAAGAAGTAGATTTCATAGTGCTGCGGAGAACAATTAGCCAAGAATCAGAAATAAAGACAAGATTACACCCACATGCGGGATGATGATTGAACCCCTCACGAGCATCAAGTCGTCGACGCCGACGCGTGCCCACTCTCGCCTGGCATTGGCCTTTTCTCCTACACCAAGCTCGGCGCCAACCTTGCGACTCTTGTCGAGAAACACCCAGACGTAGTCGCCCTTCTTGACACGTACTGTACCTCCAGGGATGTTGGAACCGTCGTAGAAGACGAAGGGAACGGCAATCTCGGTGGCCTTGACAGCTTCTTGGATAGCCAGGAACTCGCGTCGCAAAGCTTCCCTCTCAGCCGCCTCACGTCGGAGAGCCGCCTTAGACATAACCTTGGGCACGAAAGCGACGGAAGAGTTCGCAACGACCTTGGACTTCTTCCCTGAGCTGTCGTCGCCGTCCTTGTCTGCGTCCTTCTTCCCCTTCTTCACCGGCAGCGCGTCCTCCTCTTCCTCTTCATCGTCGCCAAAAGACAGTTTGCTGCCCCCAATCTTCTTCTTTCTCTTCTTCGGCTTGCTTGCGCCGCTGCCAGAGTCGTTGCCGGGGTCTGGAGTCGCGGAGTGGGATCGGTTCGGGGTGGACGTGCCGGAGAGGGCTGCTTCGCGCTCGCGCTCCTGCTGGTCGAGGACTTCGGCGTGTCGCTTGCGGTAGTCGGAGAGCTGGACAAGACCGACAGTATTGCTCGATAGACGCTCTGTCGTGGTCTTCTTCGGCGCTGTGAAGCGCGAGGGGGCCTGGTCGGACATTGTGGGTGTGTACGTGGACACGACAGTTAGAGACGGTCGCGATGAAGCTAGAGTTCAAAAGCGACGACATCGAAAGCAGTAAAGACAGACAACGTGCGGCGTCATTGTTTTCGAAGTCATTGAGCACTGTGTGATGGACCCGCTATTCTTCCCGCAGTGGGTCCAGGCACCGTTCGCTGGCAGGTGCCGCCCCACCATCCCGCCTTCCAGCTGTCCGTCACCTCACATTTCGCTGAAGCGAGGCGAGGCGAGGCGGGCAGCGGTGGTGAGCTGTTCCAACGCTTCCTCGAATTCCCCCGCCACCTTATTAAATCGGATCAACCTCACAGCTCGGCTCAGCTCATATGCTCGCTTGTCCTTCTTGATGTAACCACAGTGGTTCTTGTTTTTGTTTTGTTTGCATTTCAACCAGGAACACCCCTCACTTTTAGGTCCGCCGCCGTTCTCGTATTCCCTACCGGGCTCTCCCTCACCGCCGCGACTTTGGTGTCACTTGGTTGCGCTGCGTCTCAACATGGCAACCATGGAAACACAGGCCCGACCCGTTGACACGTCGTCTACGCCGTACAACGGCCCCGGGGCTTTCCCGACAGGAGGAGCACCGCCCGCAGACAAGTATCTTCAGTCGCAGCCCGAGTACGCCCAACCGACCCGTCCGGAGGATTACCCCCGCCCTTCCCGAGAAGAAGACCCTCCGCGCAAATCCGGCCAGTACTCCATCCGCCAGAGCCAACCGGCGCCGCCATACATTACATATGGCCATCCTCCCCCGATTCCCAAGGTCGCCGTCCAGCCTCCGGTAGTCGAGAAGATGGCTGGGCCGGCCGCTTACTACCCGGCTCCTCCCTCCCAAGCGGGAACCATGGCCGAGCTGCCCCGCCCCGCCGCTGCGCTCCAGCCGATCACAGCCACAACCCAGGATATCCGGTCGCTCAAGACGAGCACGCAGTTCGCTATGCGGGAGTACCTCTCTCTCATGCGCAAGAGACGCCCCGACGGCTCGTCGACGATGGAGCTGGAGGATCAAATTCGGGCGCAGGGCCGTATCTTGGTTGGGGACCTGAAGACGCTGCGAAAGGAGGTTGGAGTACTGATCAAAGAGGGCGAGAACCATCGCTGGAGGAATTGGCTTATTGGAGGAGCTGTGTAAGTACCTGGAGATACATCCACAGGTGCGCCGTGTGAGCTGACATAGAGCAGGGCGACCTTCATCCCAGCCGTCAAGCGCGTTTTCCGTCGGCCTTCCTCGTCCGAGGGCAGGTCAAGCATCCAGGCGAGCAACAACACTGAGTATGCCTTCTCCAAGAGCAAGGCTATGCTAGCGCGCATCAAAGACAGCGTTCTGGGCCGCAACAGCTTTGCCAGCATTGCCTTCTTCGTTTTCGCCGTGCTTTACATCTTCTCGAACGAGGTCTCCCTGATGGTGGCCAAGACCGTCTCCAAGCGGCTGAAGCGGCTCGGCGCCAAGATCGAGCGCGGCGACGTTGAGGTTGTTGACAGCGATATGAAGCTGCTCGAGGGGTGGAGATGGAGAGTCCTTATGTGGGGGCAGTGAGACGATTTCATGAGCCTGATGAGTGGTTGCATGTACTAGACATGACGGATGAGTAGACGACAGCTTTGCATGGCGACAGCGTGTGTTTCCTTTGTGTTTGGACATATTTTGGAGTACCTACCAGAGTTTTGTTCCTCCTTGTCTCATCTTACTTATGAACTTCAATAAGATTTGGAAAACGGCGATTGTAAAGGGCAGCAGTAGACCTCCATCCTATGCTTGTTTGATGCGGGATTCTCTGAGAACCCCCACTCTATCGGGGACTGACTTGCTTTAAGTGCATATTCATTCGCCGGTTATGCACATATGAATACAGAGACCCACATTGCGCCGCCATAGGTATTGACAGATCATCAGTATGGCCAATAGCAGCATAATGAATGTGGGATAAAAGTTGGTTGTATTGCTTAGTGTAATCTGCTGGTCCTGCAGTAGATCTATATAAACGATTGGCGTATATCCCTTGTAAGGCAATCCTGGCCT